ATTAAATCATAATTTTTGAATGAAAAGTGCTATGGAGTTGATTAAGGACTTTTTGGAAAGATTTTAATGTGTATATTTTGAAAAAACAAAAAAATAATTTTCCTGCAGGATATTAAGGTCATAATTTAAAAGAACAAAATATTGAAAACTGCATAAAATTTGCTTTTTTATAGGTTAAAACAAAAATATGTATAAATGTTTATAAATATATATAAATCTTTTGTAAAAAAAAGATAGCATAGAAACATCAATGACAAAAACAATAAGAGTTATTAAAAGAAGTTTTAAAAAAGATAATTTATTCATATGTTAATATTTCAAATTGTGAATCTTCTTCAGATAAAATGTTATTAGAGACAATATTATAAAAATTATTTATTTATTAATATTTTTTGTGTATAAGAATATCAATCAGAATGACATCATTCATACCAAAATTTGCAGAATGGTTTGACTTGCATTTCTTATCAAAAAATTAGATCAGATGATATCCACATTCAAGCAATGGTGTCTGTTAGATTGACAATTTAAGTGTTTTTTCTTGAGAGTCTAGTATATATCAATTTTAATATTTTGTTATTATCTTTTAACTCTGAATCATGAAGATTTCCCAAACCACCTTCCTCATTATTCAAAAATAGCTCCAAAAAATGAAAAAATTAGTTTGTGAAGTAACAGTGTTATACTAATCCATGATCCAGGTAAATTTATTATTGTAACAGGTGGAAACTCGTTTAATAGAAATAAATGAAAATCTGGACAATAGCTTTTATATTGAACCAGATAAGTTTTTCTTTTTAAAGAAAATACTCAAAGAATTATTGAGAACACCAATTCGAACTTTTGAAATGTTGCATGATATCAAGGAATTTGTGCAATAATTAAATCCCTGTTTGATTTTTTGTGCAATAGTTCTCTATCTATATAATCGTTGTTGTTGTACCTCTTTGTTCAATTGTATCAGGGTAGTTCCATTTTGTACTTCGCATGTACAACAGTTTTTATGAAATGGTCAAATGTTATCAGTAAAGCATAAAGAACCTATAAAAATATCAGTAATTTTTAGCTGTAACAATTTTTAATATTAAGTATGTTCACATGTTAAGAATATAGAATAATATGAACACTATTACAAGATAAAAAAAATTTTTGAAAAATAGAGTTTTTTTTGGCTTGTATAGAAATGCCTACCAGGGGCACAAGCATAAATTATAAATTGGCATTGTTTCTATCGGAAACTTATTGAAAGAGTTATATCTTTAACATACTCTTCAAGCAAGATTTCCTTACCAGCCTTGAATTGTATGCCAGCATAGCCCTTTTTTTTAGCTTGTTTTTCTTCAGATGCAGATCTTTGCCAACTATTCTGAACTGATATTTTTTGTGCAAATGTTAATTCATCGGAGCCAAGTGCTTTAGCAATTATTAGTATACAACCTATTATATTTGCAGAAATAGCAATAGCAAATAGTAAAAATTTCAAACATATCAAATTCAGTAAGCTTCATTGTTATTAAACTAAAGATATAAATAAATTTTTTGATTTTTTATCTAATAAATTTTTGAACAAAATGATTTAAACTTAAAATAATATAATTCAAAGTATAAACAAGTTTAAGTTCATTACTATATATACCACAAATACATATGTATTTATTAATGGTTGAACCAATTTGATTAAATTTGGTCCAAAAAAAAAGTTCAATATAAAAGAGAGCAAGAGGGTGTAGGTATTGGTCAAAAATTGGTCTTATTTCTTTTTTTTTATTTTTAGACATACACTTTTACTGAATACATCTTCCCTTTATAAAAATATGTGGAAAATAATGTAAAACTATTTGCATTAATATTTTTGAATATATTTCACAAAAATTTAAACTAAAGGGGTAGGGTCATTCTTTAACTTTTTTTGTTTAAAAGTGCAAAGTTGGCACAATTTAGTTAAAAATCTTATTCCTCTTTTATTAGAGGAGTTTAAAAATATAAAGCTTTACTAGTGCCAACTTAGCACTTTTTTTAAAAGTGCCAACTTAGCACTTTTTTTAAAAGTGCCAACTTAGCACTTTTTTAAAAGTGCCAACTTAGCACTTTTTTAGATAAATTATTTTTTCTGATAAAAAGTTTATTAAAAAACACTAACATTTTTCTGAATTTTAGTTGTTTCATTAGGTATTGCATGTAAAAAAATTTTTTTGCATTTATCTATGAAGTTAACATTCACATTTCCATAAACTGGAGTCTAAGATTGTTTCTACATACAATTATCACATTAGTATTGCTTATATGGTGACAAAAATGACTTATATAATGCCAAAAATGACTTTTATGTAACATTTATACCTATTTACCTATCTTTTGCAACGAATTTACGTAATTCAAATTAGTATATTTTCTGAACAAATCATGCTATTGAATTAACTTTTTTTTAATGAACTTAAAATTTATTTGGCTTTCTACAACAACTAACTTTAATTTATTTTAGCAACATTAATTTTTGACCAATGTCCATCGTTTGGCCCACTGTGCCCCGGCCCCCTGGTGTCGTTGGCCCTGTATATAGCGTACAAGAAACAAATCTTTTAGTGACATTTGGATTCTTAGAAAAGTAGAGAAAGCAGAAAAATTTTGAACATTTTTTATTTTTTTGCAAGAGAAATGAATAATAGAACCAACTATTTGACAGCATTTTCAGCAAAACGAATTTCTTTTCTTTGTAGGTAAATAAAAAAAGATTAAATTTGCGAATACTTCTAGTAAGCTAGTATACTAAAACTCTAGTTTTAGTAGTCTAGAAGACTATGCAATAAATGAAATTAATAACAGTTTGCATTTTCTTGCTTCATTCTTATCAATTTTTTAACAATAATGATTTATCCAGGAAGTCTCTACAACTTTCTATTTAAAGCATAAGATTAGTACAACGTTCAAATTCTAATCGGATGAAAATTAAAACCGAATCCAGGGTCAACAAAGTCTTTTATCATTGAAGTAATGAACTAATCTTCTTAAAAGATAGACATTCTATGTCAGCATTAGAGACATTCTATGTCTTTAATGCTGGTTCATTTTGAAAAAAATTTGTTTAGTATTTTCTCTATTGGGTTATTTTATTTGTATAAATCATTGACAAATTATCCAATTCAAGGTAAAACTAAAACTTATTTTATTTGTATAAATGACAAGTTATCTGATTTAAGGTAGCACTAAAACAAATTTTATGAAAAAAATTAAACTATTTTAATATTTATGTTAAAATAATTTATTTTTTTCATAAAATTAATTAATAAAAAAGTTGCAAGTATTATAAATCAAAAATTAAAATATTCAACTTTAAAAATGATAATTAAAACTTGGATATTAATTGTTATCCATAACATATTTTTATCTAAATATTAATCACAGAAAAAAAAAATACACTTAAAGCAATATCTCAAAATAAGATCATTGATTTGTTTTAAAATTGTATCAACACAAAAGTACTAATATTACATTAGATTCACATATTGAATGCATATAATTAAAGAGGTTTAATTTGCATATTCAAACAGCTACAGTCAGGCGGTGGTGTGTGTCAGATGGTGGACGTTTCAAACAAAATTCGCAAACTAATTTACATCATAACCTAAAAGTTCTTTAACTCGTGCATATAAATACTGTGAATATATCCTAAAAATTTGTTTGTAAATATATTGCGTCTTTAAAATTTGACATTTATTTTGCGTTATAATGTACAATGAAATTTTACTAATGGCAAAAACTTTTTAAAAATGATATTCGTTTTTCTGAGTTATTTGAATCAAAATCAAAAAATTTACAATTTGCGAACAAATGACATAGTTTATTAAGACTTTTTTTTTTGAAAATACTTAAACAAACTTTGGTCTGAGGTAAACATCACGTAGTTTGCAAGTTAAAAAAAAAAACCTAAAAAAAGCCCGCAACATCTCTCTGATTCAGGAAAACTAGTTTTTGAAAAAAATATTTATTTAAATGTTCTTTATAAACGTCATAATTTATAATTAGATATAAAAGTTTCATCAAAGTATTTTTTAGCGCTCAAAAAAAAAGGCCATATAAAGTTTAGACCCTTTTAATTTTTTAACATGTAAAGTTCTTAGAAAAGAGATGAAACAAACTTTCAAAAGTGCGTTTTTACACCGTTTCAACGGTTTCTATATCTCATCAACCCTACTAAACAGAAAGATCTGAAGTAAAAATAATTTCAACTGAAAACCTCTAAAAATGCATTGCTTTGTTTATATTATTTTTATAGTATATACCCACCTCGTTCTCCATCAATTCGGCAAAAACCTCAAATATTTTAACGGTCATAAAATTTGAACACTGAAAAATTACTGAATAGAATTTTATGTCCGTAAATATAAATTTTATTAAAATAGTAACCAACATTTGAAGAACTATGATTTAAAATTTTTTTCTTTAGCTATTTAGATCAGAACATATTTTCGTCCTCTGATCACTGCGTGTATTTTTAAAGTTTCTTGGGTTTTCTTATTTTGTTTATTTTTCTTACCATAAATTTATAAATAACCATAAACATAAAAGTGTTTTGATTTAGTCATCAATACCATAAAAACCAAGTAGCGTTACTAATTGGAACTATTGACAATACTGTTACTAACTTTAAAAAAAATATTTTAATATAATATTACAAAAGCCTTGACCTTATAATCGATTTATCCGTAACCTCATTTTGTTTAAATGAAGTCGTTTATGAGTGATTATTAGTCTACATTGATAATATGGATTAACAATTTCTGAATCAAAATAAATTTCTAAGTTTTCAATCAACCCATAGAAAACTTACTTATATCTGGTCTTCATAAAACTTATTTTTAAAAATAGTTTTGAAAAAATAACCAAGTGTTTTTTTAGTCAAATCTTTTAGTCAAATCTTGACCGCTGATCGAATTGTAATAGTCAATGTCAAGGTAATATTAAATAATGAAAAGTTAAAGGTTGAATGTGCGTAATATACCATTTCATAACAAAAATTACACGTGTTCAGTATTACATTCAAAATGGGCGCCTATATGTTCCTAAAAATAAATTTTATAATCTAAAAAGTAGAATAACGTTTTTTATTTTTCTATAATAATAATGATGCTCTCTGCCTCAGAATCAGAGCAACTGGAACATGGGTAAATTTTTTGAATTTAATTTTTTTTTGCGTATTATTACACTTCGAAAATAATATGGATCACATTATCAAACCAATTTATGGTTTAATTTTTCAGTTATTAAAATATACCTCGACTACAATTTGGTCGAGGTATACTTTATATCATATATTGTATTCGACTTTTATAAAAAATTTATACTAATGATTTAAAACTAATTAAAGACGTATGCAAATGTCTCCAATAAGATATAGACAGAATAGAAGTAGGAATTTATCTATAAATGTTATTAAGATTCTTATTAAAAAAAAACATTTTATAAAATAATTTTAAAACATATAACATTTCTTTTTGTGTACTTTAATTTTTCTATATTAATTTTACAATTTTTAGAGTGCTTGGAATGTGTGATGATTTTTCAAGTTATCTTATTGATTTTCATGCAGATCGTTTTTTGTAAGTTTTTAAAAAACAATGGTTGGTAATATTTATATTATCATAATAAATACAGTATTCTCAAAAGGTCTTGCGTCTATTAATGTTGTTTCTCTTGTTATTGTTGTAGTTGTTGTTTATGATGGTATTAATTATCGCAGTATATATACAGAAGTATACAGAAGTAAATCATGATAAATGTGTGTAACCCCTATTCTGACCTCTGATTATATATATATATATATATATATATATATATATATATATATATATATATATATATATATATATATATATATATATATATATATATATATATATATATATATATATATATATATATATCTGTGAATGCGTGTTTAAATTAATAAAAATGAATCTTCCATCAAAAGCTTTTCGATTTTTCTTGCTTTAGAAATTTTTGTTCCAGTTACTCAGAAGATAACCTTTATACATCATTGCTAGATGATGAAAGATCGTCATCATCCTCCTGTCCTTCTACTAGCTCAGAAAATTGTGACTTAGAGTTTATGACCTCTCATGATATTTTTTCAATGGAACGACTACAGCCTCAAAGTATTTATTAATTTTAATTTATTAATTTTAGTTTTCTTATAGTTTTGCTGTGTAAATAAGCTTAAATCTTAAAGTAGAATAAATCTTTTATATGATCTTAAAAAATCTATATATATTAACTTTATAAATCTATATATATTATCTGTATAAATCTGTGCATAAATCTTAAAGTAGAAGTCAGAAATACAGAGTTATCATCAGTCAGTGAGTAGTTAATTTTAGTAAAAAAATAAAAATTCAGAATATTTTATAGAAATTTATTTTTAACTGTGGTACTGTGGCTTTCATTTATGTTTTTGTTACCTTTCTTTCAAAACGATTTCTAAACAAAAATATATAGAGAAAGTCATTTTTAATTACCTCTGCAAAATTATCTTTATTAATTAATGCTAACATAGTTCTCAAAGTTATTTTGACTCAAATGTTCTCTATCTATTTAAACCAAAGAACTATGTTAGTATAAATTAATAAAGATCATTTGAACTGAATAAATTGTATTCTATTCTAGTAGACTAGCCTATACAGTAAACAAAATTGTTAACAAAGCCAAAAGTAGCAAGGCCAAGGCTACACATTACAAGGCCAAAAGAACAAGGACAAGGCTGAGGCCAAAAGTTTTAAGGTCAAGGCCAAGATTAAGAGTTTCAAGGCCAAGGCCTATGCAAACATTTTCAAGACCAAACACTTCAATTTTTGCTTTACATTAAGGCCAATTATTAACAAAACTGTAAGTAGTAAGTGCTGTGACAATAAAACCACATTTTGTAAAAATAGAACAAGGTTATGCACATAATTCAATGAAAATCAATAAGAAAATATGTATTTTTTTTAAGGCTAAGGCCAAAATAATTAAGGCCAAGACCAAGGCCTCAACTTTTGGCCTTAAGGCTAGGCCAAGGTCAAGGCCAAGGATTAACAACTCTGTCGGTAAATAAAATAATAGCAACTATAGCTTTTTAAATTTCATTTTTTTTTTAAATTTAACTCTTAATGAAGTATAAAAACTTTTCCATTATTATTACAAGAGGGCTTCCCATTAAATTTTTTTTTTTTATAAATTAAAATAGTTTATATGTAATTGATAGTAATATATGCCTTTTATTCAGATGTTAATAGTAATATATGCCTTTTATTTAGATATTATATAAATAGTTGATAATACCAGAGCAAAACATCAATTATAGTTAAGAAATATCTTGTTTTAAAAATTGCCTTCAAAATAAAATCCTTGTTTCGTGGTGCTAGGCCTAGATTATAAAACCTTATAAAATAAGGTATTCGCATATAAACAAAGTTTCTAATTAAACTTTCTTATGCATGAAAGGCATGATCAACATGTTCATGCACCATAAAAATAACATTTAAACTCTTAAATCTTCAAGCTGTTGTATAAAACTACTGTTTAGAGTTCAGTATAGAGCAAAGTATGTTATCTGCTTTTAGTTTACAAGAATTTAAGATGTCAAACAAAGTAACTATAGTTTTAATAAAAAAGGCTGTTGAGCAAATATTTTTAAGCAATAGTTTTGCAGAAGCATTTCAATTTTTTTTTAATTCTGTAAATGAAGTCTGTTTGTTTGCTGTTTTCTCTTTAAATTTAAGATAGAAGGTTGATTTAGAAAGTTAAAAATTGTTGGTTACAGTTACAAGTGCTTTTTGGAAGAATCAAAGTTTAAATATTGCATATATTTATACATGATGAATCATATTATGTATAAATATTTTATATTTTACATTTAAGTTAAAACAATGTTTTAAAAGCTTCTTTAAATTCTTGATATACTCATTATTTAATAAATTTTATTTAATAATTACTAAAAAAAGATATATCTAACATTCCTGTAATGTGTAAATATAGTTAATAATTGTTTTAAAGCTAATGATCAATTAGCATTACTTGTAAATAAATCTATTCGATATATTTGTATATAATATAAAAACATAATTGTAAATATCAAGAGAATTAATTCGTATATAAATTATGTTGAATTGCATTAAAATAGATGAGGCGTTTTATGCTTAAATTATAAAGTCCTTTTTTATGTGAAACAAAAATTCCAACATTTTTTCCATGCTTGTTTACGCAACTGATGGTTGAACAAAAACCATCAGTTGTCAAAAAAAAAAGGTCATCACAAAAACATTTTCAATAAAGTGATTAGAGAAAAAGTAACTTTGTTTTTGAAAAGTGAATTATATTATAATATATTTAGTAGACAACGAGGTGAATAATATAGTTATAATGTTGTTTATAATATATGGTCCTGCGAGACATCACATAATCCAATGCACAATAACCGAGGTGGCAGGCATTAGCCAAAAATAGATGGACGGTTGCTATTCTAATAGTGATCAAGCTTCAGTAGTTTTTATAGTTTTCATCTATAATTTAAAGAAATTTGATTTAATAAAAAATGTTATTTTTTTGGCATAAAAAATAATAGAATAAAATGGGGTCAAATGGAATAGTTAAGGATTTTAATTATTAATTTTTTATGAAAAAAAGATTTTTCCTTTTTTTTTTTTTTTTTTTTTTTTTTTTTTTTTTTTTTTTTTTGGTTGTAGAGAATATTGAACTGTATTTAAATATATAAAAATCTAAAAAATTTTTTGTAAAGTTTTTATGAAACTTTTATTGATTAAAAAAAAATTTATTCCATTCTACACTGACATTCGAAGAGAATGAAATATGCAAATATAAGTGTAATTAAAACAACACTTTATTAAAAAAACAAAAAGCAATCAATAATAACAATTAAAAAAATCAATCAAATAAAATAAGCTTTTTTATTCTTGTGATGATGTTGAGTCGTTTAGAGGTACTAGAGTTTGAGTTAAGTTTTCACTTTTGCAGCACTTTTTGGTGCAATAAAACTCAGCGCCTTTTATGTATCACTTTGGTATGCATGTTTGATGTAGCCAAACCTTGTAATTTGAATTTTCACACTGGCACCATTCCATATTTTGACTTGCTGAAGTTTCGCCCAAAGCGTTTTGGCACTTTTTGCACCTGAGTTGGTTTGCAGCTAATATTTTCATTGGACTTGTTGCTTGGTTTATTTGCTGTTCTCTATTCGAGATAAGCTTATGTTGTTTTTTAGATTGGTTTTGCTGCTTTTTTGCTCTCAGCATCTTTCAATCTTTCAAGTATTTCAGGTTTGTTGAGACACTCCCCTTCAAATCTTGACACATCAACATTTTTTCTTTTTTTGTGTGTGTCAACGTGTTGGATACAAAACATTTGTTGCAAAGCTGCTGCAAGTGATTGGGCTGATTGCAGTTGTTTTGCAACCTCTTTTTGAATTTCCTTTTGAATAGTTGGAGTTACTACAATATTGAAGGTTGTTTGCAGACAAGGCGACTACAATTAACAAGAGAGTAACTATTGTATTTCATTTACTTATTAGAACCATTTTATAAAAGCAGTCATTTAAATTCAGTTTGTTTTATTTCATTTTATTTCAATTTCAGTAATTAAAAGTCATTTAAATTCAGAAAAATTTGTTCATTGAAATTTATACAAAAATTTATAGTTGGGGATTTATTGGTCATTTGAGACCTAATAAAAAAAAGACACTTTTAAGAAATAATCTATTGCTTCGTATTTATTTATTTTTTAGCGTATTTCATTCAATCCCACAACACTCTGTTTCTGTTTTTAACTCATAACTTTTTTTATTAAGTAGCAAATTTAATTTTGAAAAAAGATTCTTGATCAGCATAAAAAGTTGTAACAGTTTAACAGTTGTAACATTTTAAACAACACGTCAATGTAGCCTAGTGCATCGTATCATTTCTGCACTAAGTTGTAAACCGCAATGAACCGATTGTCTAGGGTTCGAATCTCTCTATAACTTTATGGTTTTGTCATAATATGCTAAACACATTGGGTATCGGTGAATATATTGATACTCGGTGAATGTCTGTCTAGTTAGCTTAGTTAGTTATATGCTAAACACATTGGGTATCGGTGAATACATTGATACTTGGTGAATGTACCACATTGAGACTCATACTCTCGGTGATTGTCCTGAGGGTGTATGAACGAGCGTGTATGTACGAATGGGTGAGCAGGCATAAGTAAGGTAATAATAATAGACTAAGTAAGTAAGTAAGGTTAAGTAAGTAAGATACCAGTAAACATTTTAAGTTCAATGATACTGAATTTAATTTCCGAGAGTTTTAAGTTCCCTTTTCAAACAAATAAAAAAAATCTTAATACGCGTTTGAAAACTTCTAAGTTTATAACAAAATTTTTTTAATTAGAAATAAAATTATGTACAATCTTACTCAGAAAAATATTATCTACAATATAATCAAAAAATATTTGCAAAAAAATTATTTAATAGTTAATTAAGAGCGAAAGAATAAACATTGTCATAACTATTTCATTCTACTCGCTATTTCATTTTACCCTGTTTTACTCTAGATTTTTTATTTCAAAACATTTTTATTGGAAATAAATTTTCGATTAATTTTTAATTACATCTTTACATCTTTTTGCAGGCTAGAATACTTTATTAAATATTTTATTAATAAAAATTTTAAAAACTTAGGGAAAAAAAATTATGGAGGAATTTCAGTTTTTTTAGTGAATAGTTAAAAAGAATAATAGTGAAATAATGGTTAAAAAAAAAAAAAAAAGATCTTTTATTACAAGGTGTTTGGAATTACCATTGAACATCAAAATTTAATTTTGGGGTCAGTTAATAATCAATTATCAAAATTTTTCAACAACAAGAATCTAAAAAACCTTTCAACAGTAAGAATCTAAGAGAATTCTAAGAATTCTAAGGAATAAAATTTACTATTTTTAGGGAATGAATATTAATAGAGATTAATTTTTAATTATATCTGAATGAATATTAATAGAGATTAATTTTTAATTATACCCTCTATATTATTTTTAGGGAATGAATATTAATAGAGATTAATAATAAATATATTAGTATAGTATTAACAAGGATGCATAGTACCAAAATAGACTAAATATTTTAATCTCGCAAAAGATAAATTCTTTTTGATTTTTGGTATCCAAGTGCTCCATAAAGAGTTTAGCCCACTCTCTGGGGAAAAAATTAAGACTTTTAGGTTAAGATCAATTGAATCCGGACCTCTTATGTATTGATAAATATCAATTAAATCCGGACTTCTTATGAATAATGGTGGAAAGACTCCAGGATTCTGGGCTAAAATAAAAGAGGTTCCGAGTCATTAAATCTCATGAATTTTTAATTTATGGTGTTCATAACTTTATTATTCTTAAATTTACATTTTAACTCTTGATTTTTTATTCCATGAACATGGATAGCATAGTCAGTTTGTTTTATATTTTAATAAAGAAAAGAAATGTTTGTTTGGCATTGTGTGTGTTTTTTTTTTTTTTTTTTTTTTTGTAACACCTGTTTTTCTGTAAAACAGGGTAAAATGAAGTACCGGGTAGAATAAAATAGTTATGAAAATGTTTATTCTTTCTTTAACTATTAACTATTGAATAATTTTTTTGCAAATTTTTTTTGATTATATTGTAGAGAATATTTTTCTGAGTAAGATTGTATAAAATTTTTTTTACTTTTGCAGACATTTTTGTTAACATTGTTTAATTGTTTTTTATGTTAATGATAATTTTTATCAACAAATATTTTTTAAAAAATGTTTGTTTTTTAATGTTGAACATAATAATTTTTTTTTCCTAAATTTAATTCTATGGATATCAAATAATTTTAGATGTATTTAAAAAAAATTTTAAATATTATTAATTTGAAGGTTGTGAATCTCCTCGAAAGTTTTTGTCAAAAGAATATCTCAGCTCTACCAAAAATGTGAATAGCAAGTATACTGAAAAGAAATCAAATAAATTCTTAAAACAGTTTCAAAAGAAATGGTAAATTTTTTCTTTAATATTTGTTTTACAACTACTCAGCTATTATAAAATCAGACATCAATTTTGTTTATTGAATCATTTTTTAGTTTAATCTTTTATTGATTTAATTATAAAATGTTGTTTTCCGAAAATTATAAGTGTTTAAATTAAAAAGTAAACAAGATGCTGATTATCCTAATGACATTTAAGGATAAAATTGGACTTGATGTTTCAGAGTATTTATGGTTCAGATTTTTATCCAGACTCTGTAAGGGTTGTCTATAAATTATTTCAGGCAATTTTGACAGTTTTTGATTTTTTATTGTAATCAAAGTGTAATATTGTGGGTCACTACGAATTTTATTCTTTTTACGTTTTTTTTTTTTTTTTTTTAATTGACAGCTTTTCATTTGCCCAGCATGTACTAAATCATATGGAGTACTTTTGTTATTTTGTGTTAACAACTGTTTCTGTAAGCTTGCATTATTACTTTCAAAACATTAAAAATTTCCTTGGCAATTTTGAATATTATGGCATCTAAATGGTAGAGTTTATACAATTTTTCTATAAATAGTTAAAAAATGTTTTCTATAAATATATGTTTATGTAACAATCATAAAAAAAAAACTTTACCATTGTAAAAACATTTTTTTTTTTTTTTTACCTCAATTAAGTTATGCAGAAAGGATAGGTAGTAGTTTAAAACCACTACCTAGTTCTAATTTTCTTTGAATTTTTTAAAACATTTTATTTTGACTTGTTGGTTATTTTCACTTTGAGATTTTTCAAAATTCTTATTTATCTTCTAAAGAAAGATCAAATTGAAACCATCAACATGAAAATTCTTGTTTTCTAAAGGAAGATCAAAATGCTCTCGCATATCAAGATGAAAACTCAACTTATAGTATTTAACAGAAAGTTGACAAAGTTGAAAGTGTTTTCTCTAATAAACTCAATAAGCTTTCCTAATTGTTATATCAAAATTGCTTAAAGCCATTATATAGTGCGAACCCTGTTAAAGCTTGCCAATTTATAGTGGAAACCCTATTAAAGCTTGCAATTGCTACAGAAAATTAAAGTATTTGGTTATAAAATCTAATGAAAAAAAATAAAAAAATGCTTTATGATAAAGGGGAATTAGCAGTGAAATTATAAGCAGAATATTTAATAACGTCACAGAGAAAGTCAATAAGAGTTTTTAACATTTTAAAGTTTAAATTTTTTTTTTTTTTTTTTTTTTTTGTTATTTCACCTCCCCAAGGCCGATAAGGCCACTACAGACGAGGAGGCTACTTAATTGTGGTTATAACCCTCTCTTAACTCTATAACTCCGAAACACGAACCTTGATGAACAAGGCCGCTGCGCAGAGAAACAAGTTGAGCGCGGTACTACCAGGGACGTGGTGGGGATCGAACTCAGAGCCTCTCGCTTATGAAGCGAGCGCTCTACCACTACACCATTACCGCATCAAAATTGCATTTTGCATGTTTCTGTCTCCACATCATTTTGTAGTGGAATATGGAAAATAAAAGATAAGTAAAGCAAAAATTTTAAAGTACCTGCAAAAATAAAAGTCTTATGTAGATGATATATAATAAAAGTCTTATACATTTCATAATTGAACTCTTTTACATATTTCACTAAAGTTAGCAATAAAAGAGAACCCTAATGAAAAAGTACCTCTATATCTATAAACATAAAAATATATCCAAAATTGCACACTTTAAACAGTAATATTGTAATTGTAATAGTTTTCCTAATGATTACAAAGTATAAGCTAGAGTTTTACCAAATATTTTGATCTCCTAGCAACATAGTACTTTGACATTTACCTGTTGTATAAAAAATTTTAGAATTTAAATCATCTACTTTAGAATTCTATCATTCAAATCATATACTAAAGAGTTATCATTCAAATCATATTCTGAAAAATAATATTTTTTGTTTATTTTAATTAAAAAATCGAAACTGAAATTTATTTACTTTAAAAAATTTAAATAAATTCTTTTGTTGTATCTTTCGGTGGTTCAAATATAATTAGCGCATATGAGATTAATGGATTAAGGGAAAAAATAAAATATGATATTGCTTCAATTTAATTTCTTCTGCTCTGTAAACATTTTCTTTCACCTAAATACCAAGAGTGTTTAATAAATTTTTTAAACATAAATAGTCCTTTCAAATAAAGTAATTAGTAATTTATTTTGACTCTTATAACCAGGATAATTTTATTAATTCATTTTAAAAACGAAGAGAAATGATGAAGAGCCTAAAATTTGTTTTATCGTGAGTATTTTATACCAAAATATTTCATAAGTTCTTATATGATACCGTAAACAATATGCAAATGAGTATTGTAAAATCATTTCTTTTATTTATAAAAATAAATTTTATTTATGGGTGATTTATCAAAATAAATTTTATTTATGACATTGGTTTTACAGTAACAAAAATAAAAGTTTTTCTTGTTCATTTGGTATCTGAATTTAAATAGAATCTAAATTTGGATTTGATTTTTAAAAATTTTGAAAGGTTTAAAAATTTAAATTTAATTGACAGCAGAGATTGTTAAGTGAACGCAATAAAAATATCATTTTTTCTTATGCTTTTCTAGGTGTGAATATACAAAACAACAACAATACAAAGCTTTAGAGAGTCTGATGGATATCGTTTCAAGGAGATTGGGTTTGAAAGAACAATTAGAAGTTATAAATATTATTAATCCAAAAGCTGAACTCCACCAATCAGATACTGAATTCTTTATTGGTATGTGCTACTTCATTGCTTTGTTTGTTTTTTAAAAAATAGTTCAAAATTTTTTTTATTTATATATGCAGATTTTGATTTGATCGATGATCACAAATACGAGAAGGTGAAAATTTTTGTCAACAAAGAAATACATAAGCTACGCAGTAAAGTTACCAGTATGTAATTTTATTCAAAAACTTTTAAAATGAGTTAGTTGTAAAAAATCAAATGTGAATTACCCTTGCATAATTAGCTATTTTCTAGTTTTTAAAAAGTTAGGAACGTTTTTAAAATTTATATTTCGAAAAGACTCTTATCATTAAATGTTAGCTTTTATGATAGAGTATTTTTATTTAGAATCTTGCAATTTTAATAGAAAGAAAAATATTTCTAATAACTCCGAAAAGGTAAGCAAATAATTTTTATTTTGTTTGCTTATTCATGTTTTCAATTCTACTAGTTGAATTAGTTTGTATAAAATCGTGAAATTAAACCTTGCTACGAATCTCTAATCTAAAATTTTAAGTTAATTTTATTCAGGTAGCTAAACTTAAGAGCTGTTTACCGAGATCCACTAAAAAACTATCAAGATATTCAAAAAATGTTCGGCAAGATCGCAAGGAACAACAAAGTGGTTTCTTCGTAAATGAACAAGTACGTTTAATTTGTAAAAATGTTTTACGTGAAAACCCGTAATTAAGTATTTTATTCTATAATTCTACCATAATTTTATCATTCTCTTCAAATTCTACAACTATTATAAATTCTACTATGATGATTCTACATTTAGGTTGTAGCAGTTGCAGCGCTTCCAAATTGTGACGATGATAGCGAAGAAGAAATAGATATCTTGAGTTAAAAATTTTTTATAATCCAAAAGACAAATTCTTACGTAATAAATAGATGTCGTTATGCTAATCAAGTATAAAAAAATACCTAAAGTTATTAAGAATATACAAAAGTCTATATTTTTAAATTAAAAAAATAATCTAGTTTATTATACTAAATCAAACGCAGCTATTATCAAATTATTTATTATGAAAAGTTTTTCTAAAAACTTCTCAAATAGTAAATGAAGTGATGTACTTGTTTAAACAGATTTTTTTCTGATGTCAATAATTTCTAACGACACTTTTTTAGAAAGCTGGGAAGAGTGAGACGCCATATTTAGGTTTTTGATTCGTAACAATTTTTTTTTATGCGGCTGGTGCAAATATGAAGATACCTATATGTGTGTGTGTGTGTGTGTGTGTGTGTGTGTGTGTGTGTGTGTGTGTGTGTGTGTGTGTGTGTGTGTGTGTGTATGTATATATATATATATATATATATATATATATATATATATATATATATATATATATATATATATATATATATATATATATACATACCTAGAAATGTAGATTAAACATACCTACAAATTAAATACATAAAGAGAAAAACCTGATTTTAACTCAAAAGACAAACAAACTAGTAATTATAACACAAATAATGAATCCAACGTTCCAAATCACAATTCAGTAAATATCGTTTTAAGTATCACACTTCAGCGTCAATGAATAAAGACTATAGAAATTAAACTTTCTAATAAGGTAACGTACTAATAATTGATCGTTTAAGAGAAAAATTCCGTTTGACTGCCATATCTTAGATAGTTTACCAATTATAAGGCTTAGACTTTTCATACCTTATCTTTTAGTTTTTTTCCCTCTCCTTATCTTTCATTTTCTCTTCTTTCCTTTTCAGTTTGTCCTTCTTGTTACTTTCCACTTTATTTTCATTCCATCTTCATTTGAAATTACAATTGGCCAAGTTCCCCAGACACTATAGCGGGTATTCTTTTATATGGGTTTTTTCTTCAGTGGCTTTTTCTTGCCAAGAACAAGAAGAATCTATATTTTTTTTAATGGATTTGGTGTACTGTCCTGCGATTGCGGTATTTTCTTATTTGCGGTAATGTTCTTATCACAAAGCCCTTGCGATATAAATGGTGAATATTATGATTATGTTGAATATAATTATTAATTAATGCTAAATATATTAAGTTACAACTATATTTTGATAGTCTTTAAATTTAAATATACTCATAAAAAAAAATTAAACTCAAAGTAAGCTGAAGATAAAAATTTAACATAACAATATGCAGCATAATAATTAAAACTGTAGAGATAAAAATCAAGTTTTTTTTTTTTTTTTTTATGGAAAGTTTATTCCACAAAACTTTTTTAATGCTTGGTTTGGAAAAGGTGAGAGACATTTAGATAATGCACATAAACGAGTCAGTTCACTTTGTAATTGATTATATAAATGTCAAAATAGTTACTTATTCTGTTTATTATGACATCAAGCCTTGTTGATAGTTGTTTCTGCTATAATTGAGTTGATGTTGTTCAGTAAATATTGATAACTAAATTATTTTGGTTGCTAATTTGATATTGTCATTACAATGCTTATTACTTACATTGCTGAAAAAAGACTTTTCATCGTATTTGTTAGACACTTTGTTTTGAATACTTTATTTTGAACAGGCAACTTCACATTGCCCAAAATAACAACAAAGTTCTCACGGTTTTCTATTTCCTACCGGGGTCCGTACCTATATAACAAAATCATATCCAAAAATATAGAACTTAAAGTATTAAATAATGCTGCCAACTTGAAAACAATTATATCGACATGTATTAAACTTAACATATTAAATTATTTTATATTAAAATATACTAATACTATATAAATATATATAAAACATATTAAATTTATATTAAAATATTTATGTGTATCACTGTTTGTATATTTTTTAACAACTTTTGACTATATATAAAAACAAATTAGACTTTATTTAACCTTTTAAAGAGTTACTCGATGATAAGTCTTCAGACTTCTACGAGTTTTCCTTTACAACAACATGTATATATTTGAAGTACCAAAAAATTTCTTGTTTTTTTTTTTTTTTTCTTTTCTTATTTTTATTCTTTAATTTTTTAAAAATACTGGTAACATTTATGATAAGAAACACTATTCATTTACGCTACACTTAAATATACTTGTTAAACCAATTTTTATTATGCTATACGTGGTATTATTTTCTTATATTTTTACGTGAGATGTCATGTAGTTATAACGTAACGATGTGTAAATTTATTAAAGTTGTAAAAAAAAAAAAAAAAAAAAAATATATACTAATTTTGAGTAGTAAAAATAAAATCATATATAATGCATTGCTATGGCTTTGTATTTCTTTTTTCGTGTAGTAAATTGTAAGACGTTAGAAGTAATCAAAGTTAGGCAAAACGAATGTTTAAAAAAATTGTAAACAAAAATTTGAAGGCTAGTCCCAATATATTAGTTATTGAAAATAATTTTGTGTATGCTTTTGCTTTTATCTCTTTTATGTGTTCGGTTTACTGCTTATAATGACACCAAGCAAAGAAAATTTATTAACTATTTCAATTTTGAAGTTATCACTTAAAATGGTTGATGTTGGCAATATTATTTTAGATGTACGCTTATTTGTTTAAATCATTTCTTTAGTTTTATCCCAATTGATGTCAAGTTTATTGGCATAGTACCATGCAATAAAATTATTAAATGCTAACTGAGTTTTGTTATTAGGTGGTTTATATTGGTATCACTTGTCATAAGTGTTGTGTCATCTGCAAATAATGTTAATCCAAATAATTTTAAAAATTCAGGTAGATTATTGATGAAAATCAAGTTTATAGACTTAAAGTTTAGAGAAAAATTCAGAGTATTTGTTGAAATCAGTATCAGATTTTTTAACTTTGTTTTCAAAGAACTTTGATTATCTGAATTGCAAATTGATTTATTTTTAGTTACGAGTTTGTTTTTCAAATAAGAGCCCCGATATGAAATTGAAAACTAGGAAAGTTTTGTTTTTTTGAAAGGTGTAACAAAGTTTCCTGTTTCTCTTGTGCTATATTTATTAACGCTATTTATAAAAAAGTTATTTAAAAAATGATTTGGAACTTGATCTAGTTTTAATTTTAGTATAAACAATATATTTTGGTATATGTTAATTTGATAAATATTAAGAACATTTATTTCTTTAAATATGGGTTCAGCGTGTGCAACTTTTTCTTTATGGTAGATTAGTCTTATAGCATGTTTTCTGACGCCGATATAAAATGTTCAAATTGGTCATATGTAGGAATGTACCGGAATTTCGTTCTGTCTGGAATTCCGGAGGAATTTGTGACATTTAGCTCAATCCGGTTCCGGCCGGAATTATAATGTTTCAGGCCGGAATGCCGGAATTTATTTTTTACTTTGTTTATTTAAGACATGTGACACAGACAGTGTAAATCAAATCAAAAAATCATTGTCCCACAGAGCAATGAAGAACTAAGGGTGAACCTAGGTAAAAAATACAAAATTCTGAACAAATAAAATGTAATTTTAGGTAAAGTTACAGTTTAGCGCTATAAAATAATTTTTTTTGCTTGTTACGCTCTCATTAGTGGAAAGTTTTTAAACATTAGAAATTTTGATTGAAATAATAAAAGAAAAAAGATTGCTGCCCAATGCCAAATCATCAGTCAATGTAGCAGCACTTCCTTGTAGAAGAAGGTTATAAGATAGTCGGTGTAGCAACACTCCTTTGTAGCAGGAGGCTGTAAGATAATGGATATAGTAGCACTTCTTTGTAACAACAAGCTATAAGATTCTTTGTAACAACAAGCAATAAGATAATGGATGTAGCAGCACTTAATTGTAGCAGCAGGCTATAAGATAGTCTATGTATGTACTAAAACCAATAAATATTCTTTATGTTTATATTAAAAGTCACCACTTTGAGCAAGTCTCCATACGAAAAAAAAAAATTATTCTAAACCGCATATCTGTAGCTTTGCCTAATTTTTCTGCAGTAATCACTTATGTAAAGATTTCTGAACCTTTAGGAATATTGTGGTGCAAAAAGAGATGCTCAACAAACAAGCTCTTTTTTTATCAAAAATGTTACCTGCCTCTGTCAATAGTCTCATTTTTAATGCTTCTTAACTTTTAAATGGTTAAAAAGTATATGTCTAATACAGTAAATATTTCATATATTATTTTATATATATATATAAATATATATATATATATATATATATATATATATATATATATATATATATATATATATATATATATATATATATATATATATATATATATATATATGTATATATATATATATATATATATATATATATATATATATATATATATATATATATATATATATATATATATATATATATATATATATATATATATTTAGCAGCCGTGGCGCAGTGGTAGCGCACTTGCCTTAGATACGTAAGATCCGCGATTCAAACCCCACATCTGGGCAAGTTTTGCGACATCGGTTGGGAAGGAGGCGTGAACTTCCCATTAAATGCTCTTCCGCGGTGCTCTGTGATAAGACCGTAAGGACTTCTTGGGGCACCTTGATCAACTTAAAAAAAATATATATATATATATATATATATATATGTATATATATATATATATATATATATATATATATATATATATATATATATATATATATATATATATATATATATATATATATATATATATATATATATATATATATATATATATATATATATATATATATTATTTGTTCACGTTTTAAAAATACTCGAGTTAGGGTCTTATTTTATTACTTTTTTGTTTTGGTTTCTTAATCTTACCATATTTAAGAATCATATTAGTTAAAATGCTAAAAACAACTTTATGACTAGCTAACGTATTTTTGAATTGTGTTCACATTAAGATAAGTAAAACTTAAAAATGGGTTTCTCTCTCCAATCGCAAAAATTGTTACTTACTCTCTCCACCCTCTACACTTTATTTTTTTTGATTTCACAGCGGGCGTAGTTACCTCA